ATTGGATCACAGGCAAATATTTTAACTTTTCTTCTTATCTATATGTTAAAATGCCTGGTTGAGGTCTTTTTTTGGGGGTGGGTGGGTGGTAAGGGGAGAGTTGTTTTTAATTTTAAAAAAAATGTTCGCAGTAGCATAAGAGCTAAGCTGTTTAAAGATATCACTATGACACGTGAATGCCTCCATGCAGAGCTATTTTGTTTTTATATTGTGTACACAGGAGAAAAACTAAAGCAAACCCCCTCAAACATCCCTTGTTTCTGAATTTGGATGGCTACAAAGCAGGGTTGTGAAGCTACCTTCTTCTAGACAGCTCCTTCTGCATAGGATGGTGTTCTTGGTTCCTCTTTCTGAGCAGAATTGTTACCAGCACTCACCCCAGCATTGCTCATGGAGGAAGGAATGGTGCTGGGCATTCCAGTCTCATGCAGCTCTTTCAAATAGTTTAAAATAAATTACTTCGAAATAATTAGTCTAAAATAAATTAACTTTTAATCACTTCCTTGGAGTTCCCTGCTCGTGGTGTTCCCCTCCTGTCTAAACTTGCTTGTGAAGGTCTGAGGCAGGTAGACTTTTATGGAATATTTTGAAGTCCCAAGCATATCTTTAAGGAGTGTGAAAGTGGCTAGCAAAAGTGGGGGATCTAAAGTAGGATCCAAAACATGACTTTTAGCTTGAAAGTCCATGGTGCTGGTGAGCAGTCCTTATTCCTGCCTGGTCTGGCACATGTGGCTAGGTAGGCAAATTATGGACAAATGGTTGTAAAATGTGTTCAAGCTTTGATAAACTAGTGACCTCCAAAAAGGCCTCTCGGAGTGTTTTGTCTAGGCTGAATGAGGCTTTAGGGGTGACTTGGTTTCCTGCCAGTACCGGTGTCACTAATACAGTAGAACCAGACCCACTTTGTTCACAGTAGGTTGCCGAATTAAAGATGAGCGGCTTGGCCTATTTGCAGCTTTTATTTCAAGGGCACCACTTCTCCACTCAGCTGGATACTGCTGCAGTCATGCGCAGCTGCTTGCTGTGGCTTTGTCTGCTTCTGGATACCTCACAAATCCCTCATCATTGCAGGAGGGTAAGAAATCAAACCCTGGGGAGTGTCTGGGTTCTGCTATAATGGCACAGAAAATAAAAAACGTAAAGTGCCGTTTATCTTCTGACTCTGTCTGTAAACCAAAGGCTTCTTTTACTGTTTTGCTCATCCTAATCAAACGGTTGTGTGAACCCTCAACAGCACGAAGCTGGTTCCACGATCTAGGAAAGTTCAAGAGTCTACACAGCAATCTTTTAACTGATGAAGATGCTTTCTAGAAGTCAGTGTTGCCGAAATCACAGTGCAGCTTAGAGCATTCTTCCTGAGGTCTTGATTTGCCAGTTCTGATAGAGCTCTCTCTCTGCCAGGCTCTTGAGAGAAACTAGTTTATTGCCTCAGTGAATCTCCAAGGCAGCTGTGTTTTGCAGACTTCTACTTCAACAGCTGGAGAATGCAGTAGACTGCAGCCGTATCTCTCTTCCTTGGGAAGCCAGGTGCTGGGTGTTTATAAATATTTAGCTTGCACAGGCTGGTGAGGCAACGCTGGCATGCTTGCTTCCTTGAATAACTATTTTGCTCATCAGAAGTAGCTTGAGATGGTACAGAGGAGGAGGTTGCTTTTGGAAGAAGACTGGATTTCACTGTATCATGTACAAGGGACAGTAAGATCCCATGTGTGCACGTGGATATTAATAGCTCTTGACTGCCTGAGGGACAAGTCTTAATAGTCAGAGGAAGCTTAAAAAAAGAGGAGGAGGAGGGGGGAAACACAACTTTTTTGCATTCTCCTTTGTGCGCTTAGCAGCCCCTGCCACAAGTTCCCTCCTTAGAATGAACCACATGGTTCATGTTGGGGAAGTGAAAAGCGCTGCATGTGCAGTTCTGACCTGACGGCTTGCTATTTCCTTCTCTTCCAGGCTGTGAAGGAGAAAAACAAAGCTTTGCAGCTGGAAATGCAGAAGCTACAGGTTCTCTTATCTGAGCAGGTGCAGTCTATACACTCCACGGCTTATTTAATAGCTGCTCTTCAGTACTTCTGTTGCAATTGGCAGTACTGCCTAGAATAGATGAGCACTGCGATGCTGTTGAAAAGTTATCAGCATGACCCTTAGCTCTTAGGGCTGTAGTTCCACTGTTGTACGAGGGAAGGCCCTTTCTGCCCAAGCCCTGTGAGCATGAGCAGCAGTGTTTCAGTCCAGAAATCCCATGGAAAGATGCTCAGAGAGAGGCTTCCTGCTCCCCCGCAGACCAGTCTCTTGCCTTTTCTCAGCTCTGTCATCTTTGGCAAGTCAGGAAAAAAGCACACAAGTCAGTGATTGCCTGTAGAAAACATCGCTAAGGGAAATAATTTGACACGTTCGTCACAGGTCTTGCTCTTTCTACTCCAAAACAGTTTGGCCATGGCCACTGTTATGACATGTTGCTTTCTAGAGCTGGCCAGGCAACTTGCTGACACTTTTTTTTCCCCCCCCCCAGAGCCCTTTGATTCATCAAAACCAAAATTTGTGTGTGGGAATCTAATAGTACTAACGAGTCTTTCGCTGATTGAAAGGGACCCCCATGAATAACGAATAGCTTGGCGGTTGAAGCAGTCCCATGATCCAGAGGAGGGGGCAAGAGAGCTGGCCAGGAAATAATTTTCTTTTCTACTCGCAAATAATTAGGAAATTCACAATTTTTTTTCTGTTGCGTAAGGAGACAAAACAGACAGTCTGTTATGGAGCAGTGCTGAGAGGAGATGGGCACTCTCACTTCCCTCAATATTCTGTTTGATTATGGTACTCATCTGGGATGTGGGCAAACTGCATCCCAGGCTCTGCCATTTAACTTCCACTGAAGAGGTCACAGGTCTGGGAACATTTAGCATCTCACAGGGTTCAGGTCTGACATCCAAAATTCCTTGCTGCTTGTTGCTCACTAATGGTAAGGAGTACAAAAGTTGGTTTGCCAGGGAATGAAACGACCTCTACAGGTCTTTAAATCATTCTTTCCAATTAGCACCATAAAGGCCACTTACCACAAAGACTCTACCTTTGAATGATTTGTTCAAAAATCTAGAGACATGGGTGCTAACCAGTCCTCTCTGTTACTAAGATCTCAAACACAAATCTCAAATATATATTGGTTGATCCAGGTAATATATAGATAATTTTTTTTTTCTTTTTAATTTGTAGACTAACAAAGAGCTCTTGGAGCACTTGGAAAGAAGGTAAGACATTTTTGTTTCTCATCAAGAATGCAAAAATATCTCTATGGTCCTATTTGGCGGTAAGATGCTTTTGTCTGTGTAAAATGCCTTTTCATGAAGAGTGCTTTGTAACCTTCTATTTTTAATTTCTCAGTATTAGAGAAAAGGATGATAAAATAAAGACGGTTGAAGAGCTGCTTGAGGCAGGACTCATAGAAGTGGCTAATAAAGAGGAGGAGCTGAAGGTAAAACCACATGCTATTATTATTCTCCCTCTCTCCCCATGGGAAGTATGTGGATGAGCAGTTCCCATAATAGAACGTGTATATTTAACTTTTAGTTTCAGAACATTCCTTTCAATAAGAACATGATTGACTTCCGTTTCAAGGCAAAATGTTCACTTGCTGCTGATGGTGTTCCCTGCTCTCAGCTAACATAAGGAATCGTAGAGAAATCTGATTTACATATCCTATTTGAAAGATTAAAAACTAACGATCTTAGGGGCCTATTTGACTAGGGACAAGTCTCTAGCAAAGAAAGTGACTGCAAATTGAGGTGGCTAAGACTTTTCTATTCTAACTGGTAGTCTGAGGGATGAAGTAAATTGCAAATTGTTTCAACTTGAAACCACCATCCACCTAAATCTTTTTCAGCTGTGGACAAATATGAGGAATATGTTAAAATGCTGGGAAGGCTGAAAAATTGCTGAAAACCCTCCCTAACGATATCTCTCTGTAGCTGGCCAGAAAGCTATGCCCCCAGCTTACTGAACACTATTCTAGGTGTATTGACTTGCCCATAACCTTCAAACTCAGTTACTGAAACTTCTACTTGGGTATGACGGGGTGAAAAGTACCCTGTTTAAATTCGCTGATGATACCAAAATTTGGGGTGAGGTGAGCACACCAGTAGGGAGGGAAAGACTGCAGCAAGACTTGGATAGGTTACAGGGGTGGGCTAGCAAAAACAGGATGCGCTTCAACACTGACAAGTGCAGGGTGCTGCACGTGGGCAGTAGTAACCAGCAGCACACTTATAAGATGGGGAAACTCCCTTCTTGAGAGCATGGAGGCAGAAAGGGATCTTGGAGTCATTATTGACTCCAAGATGAACATGGGCCAACAATGTGAGGTCACGGT